TTTAGGGTTTAGGTTATGTTTAGGTTTTCGGGTTTTTGGCTTTGGCTTTAGGGTTTAGGGTTAGGGTTTAGGCTTTAGGGTTTAGGGTTTAGGGTTTATGGGAGTGTCTTGGTGCAAGGTACAGACCAAGAACCACCACACGCTGTAAGCCCACATAATAATAGGGCCAATATATAGGGGCTTTAAAAAAATTACCAATACTACTTTGGGTTCCTTATTACAATCGGCACATAATATACCCCCAAAAATTTGTTCTAATTTTTAAGGCCCCTGCATTATGAGAAATAGATCTTCGCAAGGACACCTGCAGTCTGAAGCTAGGCTATTACAGTCTGACCTCTCAGCCCAAGTAGTAGTAAGGCTGCACGTTGTAGGGTTTTGGGTTTGGGGTTTAGGGTTTAGGGCTGCACGCTGCTTATTATCGGGGAAGCTCTGCACCCCTACAAAAATGAGACCTTGGTAACCTCTAGCCACGCAGGAGGAGCAGGCAAAAGACATTTAAGCCTGACAACCTAAAGCCTAAAACCGTAGCCCAAAACCCATAGCCCATAAGCCTCAACCAAAATCCTTCTTACGACCGTACCCTGAAGCCCTAAAGCACCAGGAGCTTGATGTACCCTCTGAGGGGGGCGCCCGTTGCTGCTCCAGACGAAAGCCTGCTGAGGAGGAGGTCGCTGCCTTAGCCCAGCCTCAGCCAAGGACTCGAAACCCTAAACCCCTAAAGTCCCTTAACCTAAAAACCTTAGAGCTCTTGCCTTGAGGTCCCAGAAAATTACGAAATATATAAGGCCAGCGATAAACCTTAGAGCTCTTGCCTTGAGGTCCCAGAAAATTACGAAATGTATAAGGCCAACGATAAAGCCCCAAGAAAGCTTATGGCCGTCCTTGTTCTTTATCGCCACAACAGCAAGAGGCCCAAAACCGAAAGCCCTAGCCGGGGTTTAGGGTTAAGGTGTTTCGGGCTCTGGCCCAAAGACAGTAAACCCCACATCTAGACCCTAGACCCTAAACCCTAAACATGGCCGAGAGGGAAAAACCCTAAACCGTCATCTAGAAGCTTCCATTCGAACGGGTGAAAGCTAGAACCGTTTGTCCCAGACCCTTAACCTCAAGGTCTTAGGTTGTTTTAGGGCTTCTCGGGTTTTTTTTTACAATTGCTTGGGAGGTTTAGGGTTTTGGGGCTGAGGCTTTCTTCGGGATTGCAGGCTGTAGGATTTAGAGCGTAGAGATTAGGGGTTTTAGCTTTCGTGATTTAGGGCAGCTTAGGGTGTTTATGGTTGCAGGGTTCAAGGTAACTATCTTTAGTGGTTAAGCAGACTCCCTTCTCAAGCCCACATCGAACCCGCCTCTGTGGGGGCAAAGTGAACCCTGAAAGCACATTTACCTGCAGCACATGTGTACTCCGATTGCTGGGGCAATGCCCTCTTCCTGCGAACTTTGAAATCAAAGGAGGTGAAGACGGCCTTTCTTCAAAGGTCGGAAACTTTCACCCCCAGATACCCTAAAGTCTAAACCCAGATACGCCTGACACAGGCCAGACAGTGGGCCAAAGCTTTAAAACCCTGCTAACCCCGAAACCTTTCACCCCAAACCCTGTCATGCCGACCCAAGGAACCCGTAACCTTGATCAGACAGGGTTTTCATTTTTTGGTTATACCTTAAGAACCCAAAACCTACTTTTTTGTAGGGTCCCTATAAATCCCATATTCGGGTTTATAATAAGAACCTACATAAAAGTGGGTTTGGGGTTCTTAAGGTAGGGACCCTGTCGGATTTGCGTCAGCCCCCGCCGAAGCCCCACAGCGCCAGGAGCCTGAGGCACCGTCAGAGGGTGCCTTTGGGTGCTGCTCCCGACGAAAGCCTGCTGAGGAGGAGGAGGCTTGGGGCTGCTTGAAGTAAACTTACAAAATATAGACGCCTCAATAGCTACCAATGGTATCTAGCTTTCCTTGGGGCTCACCATTATATATATATATATATGAATAGTCTAGTATACCCCCAAAAATGATTCCTAGCCTTTCATAATTCTTTTGGCCTTATCTCCGGAAGTTCTTTCGGCCCAACCCTGAGCCCTCCAACCTCCCAGAACCCGGTGAGCGCTGAGCCCGGCTTTCCCCGAACCTCACACCCTGAACCTCATTTACCCCTAAACCCTAAACCCTAAACCCTGAACCTTAGATAAATCCCACGGTTTAGGGTTTACGGTAATTAGAACGAGTCAGCTGTCCTGGCGTGACGTTGCAAGCCAGCTGCAAAAAAGGGTTTATTACCGGCATGCCTGAAATGCAAAGCTTGAACCTGCAGCCTAAATATGAATTTGCTTGCAAAGTGACGGGTCGGCGGCGATTGAAGAATGGACCAGTGCCAATGTGTGTTTAAGGTTTCGCCTGGTCTGGTTAAGAGTGTGGGGTCTACTGCAGGGGCCTTAATAATTGCCTATATTATTTTGAGGGCTCCTTGGTATAATTATAGTATAATATACCCCAAAACCCTATTCTACTTATTAAGGCCCCTATATTAACCGGTTTGTGCCAGCCCACAACCTCGACTCAACTCTACACAGGAGACTGCTTCTGCCGACTCTGCCGCTGGTTGGTGTGCACGGCGACAGCGTGCAGTTGAGGAGGAGGAAGAGAACGCCCAGGTAGCAACGGCAACTTCCAGGTTCAGCGTAGATTCGGCTGTTTTGGCATAGATCCTGGTCGAGCGTGAGCGTGGAAACCCTAAACCGATTCTGAGTACTTGGAGGTTCATGGGTAGTTATAAGTGGGGTTACAAGTAAGGTAACAAAAAACATAACCCATATGAAGGGACTTATAACCCTACAAAAAAAACTACCCATGAACCTCCAAACCAAAAACCCTAAACCCCAAACCCCATAGAACCCTTTAAAGGAACCCTTAAAGAACCTCCAAGTAGGGCTCTGACGACGACGGAAGCCTGGAGCGAAGTTGTCTTTATCAATCGACTTAACAAAAGTCTCCTGATCCTTCAAGCGGTTTAGGGTTTAGGGTTTAGTGCAAGGCTTTTGGAGGTTCTATGGCACTTTGGGGTTTAGGGTTTAGGGTGCCAGTCTGGCACGGACTATCAAGCTAGATGTAACTAGATGCTGTAGCTGAAACAAACATATTCCAGGTTATGCAATGTAACGTTTCCTTCTGTACACCTACACAAGTCATATCTATACATACTTACATGCATACATCAATATGCTTATATATAGATATATGCTTTCATTTATATCTTTAGGGTCTGGGATCGAGCTCCGTAGTGAGCATTGCTTGGGACCCCAGTGTATCACAGAATACACGCGAACAATTGCGGCCTCCTCGCCGAGCTGGCATCGCAAACTCCGGGCAAGGCGTTCCCTTGCCAGGCGCAGAATCAAGGCTGCGCGGCTCCTTCGAGTGCAACCCTCTGCTAGAGATCTGCTCAGGCTCAGCCTGCACCACACGGCGCCACGATACAGGGAGACCTGTCAGATGGGCGGAAAGAACCGAGAGTGGAAGCAATGGCAGGCCAACGATGGATACGCTGCTTGGCATGGCTCGCAGTCCTCCTCCTCATGGCAGGGCAAGTCGGCTGGGAAAGGCCAGAAAGGAGCAAAGGGTCAGAGGGACCAGCTCTTCCCCACCTTCGAGATGATGAACGTCAAGGAGAATGGGGAGAAAGCCACAGGGCTGCGCAGTCGAGAGCCAGCGGACAAGGACGCGCCACGATCTGGAGTTGGAGAGTTCGGCCACGACGTCCAGAAGCTCCTCAATGCCCTCCGCAAGACGGAGGCGAAGAGCAGAAAGCTGGAGGAGGCCAAGAACACCACAGAGCAGAAGTGGCAAAAGTTCCAGGAGACCCTGCGCGAGACGTACGTGGTCGAGCGACGCAAGTACTACGAGCGGCTGGCCCAGATCAAGGAGGAGACCGCGGAGGCCCAGACCATGAAGGACGACGTCCTACTGGAGCTGCAGGCGGCCTTCGCCATGTCCCCGGAGGAGTACCAGCCGACGAAGAAGGACAAGATCCAGGACGACGAGACCTTCGCAGCGGCCATGGAGGAGCTGGACAGCCTGCTCACCAAGGAGGATACACCGAAGAGGGGTGGCTTGACAACGCTGCTCGCAGATGTGGTCAAGGCAGGAGGGACGATCAACGAGGCCACCCGGCGGAACCTCCGAGATGCTATCGCGGCACACAGATCGGGCACCACAAGGACTCCAAGCCGCCGCAGGACACAGGCGAAAGAGCGAACCCCTCCTGGCAGCCCACGACCGGCGCCCACCAGGCTGACAAAAGAAGTGCCGCCAGCGGAGCACCCGGTGTACGCCACAGGGACCATGGAGACTGCGGGGCCCTACCAGGAGTCGCCTTCTGCTACCAGGGTGGTGCCCAGAACCACAAGAAGCCCTTCGAAACCCAAAGGAGCGGCAAGAACCCCGGTGAAGCTGGTGGGCCGTGCCCCGGAACGCAAGCCAGCGGCCAAGTGCGACGGACTCGGAGACAAGCTGCACGCGCGAAGGGAGGCTGCCATGAAGCAACAGCTCATCGTGGACGACGAGGAGTCCGACGAACCGGAAGCAGTGGAGCTGAAGCAGGAGGCCATGGAGGAGTAGCAGCCCATGGCGGAAATCGACACCGGAAACGGCCATGGCCAGTGTCGCAAGTATATCATCCTGGGCTTTTTCGGCCAGTCCCAGGTGTCTCAGCCAGGAATGATGCCTTTTTCGGCGTGTGCATCACTGGCAAATCGGAGACCGATTTTGAGTATGCACTCCACGACCTCCTTTGCGACACTGTGGAGTACCTCCAGGAGAAATTCACCCCGTGCCTGGTACAACGTTTTAGAGGCGACGAGCAGACCTTTGTCAAAAACTCGAAGGCGAAGACGATCACCTCGGACGTTGAGGCCAATGGCACCACAGACAATGTCAAGGCTAAGACCCAGGACAAGGAAGGCACCCCATCCGACCAGCAGCGCTCGAGCTTTGCTGGCAAGCAGTTGGAGGACGGCTGTATCCCTTCGGACTACAACAGCCTGAAGGACAAGACGATCACCGTGGATGCTGCGGCCAATGACACCATAGACAATGTCAAGGCTAAGATCCAGGACAAGGAAGGCATCCCGTCCGACCAGCAGCGCCTGAGCTTTGCTGGCAAGCAGTTGGAGGACGGTCGTAACCCTTCGGACGACAATAGCCGGAAGGACAAGACGATCACCGTGGATGTTGAGGCCAGTGACACCAAAGACGACGTCAAGGCTAAGATCCAGGACAAGGAAGGCATCCCGTTCGACCAGCAGCGCCTGATTAGTGCTGGCAAGCAGTTGGAGGACGGCCGTAACCCTCCGGACTACAACAGCCAGAAGGACAAGACGATCACCGTGGATGTTGAGGCCAGTGACACCAAAGACAATGTCAAGGCTAAGATCCAGGACAAGGAAGGCATCCCGTCCGATCAGCAGTGTTTGATTTTGGGTGGCAAGCAGTTGGAGGACGGTCGTATCCCTTCGGACTACAACAGCCAAAAGGACAAGACGATCACCATGGATGCTGAGGCCAATGACACTATAGACAATGTCAAGGCTAAGATCCAGGACAAGGAAGGCATCCTGTCCGACCAGCAGCGCCTGATCTCTGCTGGCAAGCAGTTGGAGGACGGCCGTAATCCTTTGGACAACAACAGCCAGAAGGACAAGACGATCACCGTGGATGTTGAGGCCAGTGACACCAAAGACGACGTCAAGACTAAGATCCAGGACGAGGAAGGCATCCCGTTTGACCAGCAGCGCCTGATTAGTGCTGGCAAGCAGTTGGAGGACGGTCGTTGCTTGTCGGACAATAACAGCCAGAAGAACAAGACGACTGCAGTGGATGTTGAGGCCAGTGACACCACAGACGTTGTCAAGGCAATGATGACCCCAGTACGAGGTGATATGCAATATCCCACCTTCAACATCGAGGACAGTGACGCGCTGGGCAATACAACGACCATGGCTGAGGCAAAGAGACAATACTCGCTCGGGCACGGCCCTACGGGAGGCCACGTCCCAATGAGAGCGGGCAAAATCTTTGACATCATGGACGTCAATGAAGTGATCACGACGTGGTTGCTGACTAGAGCGTGGGGCGCGAGCGCCATAGCGGCTGCGACAGCAACGTCATGTTCACTCTCAATGATGCTGGCCCAGGTAGTCGCATTACTGCTGCTGCTGCCGAGCTACGGATGGAGACGACGCCCTTTTGGGACGTCTGGCAGGACCAGGCCAACGTGGACCCGCATTATCCTCTTCGTGTCGGTAATCAAGGGGGCACAAGCAGGACTCGACGATGTCGGCAAAGGAAAATGCAGCCAAACTGGAATACCACTCCCGACAGACCTGGAGCTCTGGATGAGTGGACAGGCGACGATGAGGGAGCAGCTTGCAGCTGCCTTCGAAATGCACGTGGCGTCCATACCGCTGGGACACAACAGCGAAGTGGCGCCGCCGCCGGAGTTCGCAGTGCCTATACCGGAGCCACCTCCGCCGCCTCCGCAGTTACAACCCCACGAGCACTGGATCAACAGGGAGGAACCAGCCACGACCCACATCTCTTTCTGGATCTGCGCACCCTACTATGAGTCCATGTCTTTAGATGTGGCAATGAGCTTCCCCCTCACGCCGAATCGCGTCTTTGAGGCTATCCAGAACTCAGCGATCGACATGCCAACTGACTTGCTGGACCACCCGGTAGCCATCACCCCCCAACCCGACGAGGCCTACGGCGCGGTGATGATGATACCGACATGGGTCAGAATGTCTGGTAAAACCGCTGTGGTCCTGGACGGCAGGCGTGTGGGATCTGGAATTTTCGCGGCCTATTTCGAGGGCCCCCTCACAAGACGAGCTCTGCTCCAAAAAGTCGGGGCGGGAATGGATGATGGCATCGCTGTTTTCCTATTTGGCTCGCTGCAGCCGATGAATGATGACCAAAGGGAGCAGCCAAACCAGGGTGGACTCATCCTTTTCCATCGACAAGGAGAAGTACCAGAGTGGGCCTCGGAGCTGAGCACGAGAATGGACGATCCTGGCAGATGGCGGCCGGAAGTCGACCATCCACAACACCTACCGGGCCGCCACATCGAGTTCCAAGGGGAGGAGCAGACATTCCTACACCAGCTCGACAGGACCGTAGCCCCCGATCCGCAGCGGATGGCGGACCACGCTTTTGGCACCCAACAAGGCGAAGTTTGGCTCAGAGCCCCTACACAGCGGCCAATGAGGATGTACGCACGGGGAAAAAGAGTGCACTCCATCATTGCGGTCCTTGGTACAGCAAGATACCCCAGGGACAGCACGAGGGTCGTCTTCCTTGATACCAGGCCCCTAGGACTATGGCCGCAATGGGTGGCCTTGGCTGGGGACTTCATGAACCCGGGAGCGTACGCCGAGGGACTCCAAATCCCCTACGTCGAGGGATACTCCTTGATCGTCAAGGGAGGACGTCGATGTCGAGATGGAGTCAGGATCCGTGTCCTGGATGGGGAGGTCATTGAGCTACTCCTCAAAAGGACTGAAGAGGTCGCACCAACGTCATCTAGCTTTGAGCCAGACTCAGACGATGATGATGGGGACAGTGGGGACGACAATGATGACAACGACCACCCCATGCCCAACTCCAGTGACTTCTCAGACCCCTCACCGCCAGCAGAAGGAGGACCATATGGTCCCCCGCCACCCAGACCGGTCAATGAAGACAGGAGTCGCTCTCCGAGGAGAGAAGAACAGGGCCAAGGAGGACCGAACGAGCCCCACAAGGAAGCTCAAATGGCACCTATGGACGACTCAGCCACTGAGTCTGGCCTACCAGTGGGAGACGGCCAGCTACCATCCGCCTCAGCTGTTCTGCGACTGGCAGAGCACCTGCCACCGGTCCAGTACAACCTCACGGACCATGCCCTCGAACTCCCCCACTCCGTGGAGCAAATCAACCGGCTCAGACAACCATGGCCCACGGACTGGATGGAAGTCGACCTGCAGCACCTCCCACTGCATCCAGCGGCAAAGAAGGCTGCCCAGGAAACAGTGACAGCGGAGGATCTGCTGCAAGACAAGACTGGTGAACCGATTGAGTTCCTGCTCTACACTGATGGGTCAGCAAGCTGCCAACACCGTACCAGTGGCTACGCGGTCATTATATTGGTCCAGATAGGGGCGGCGGTGGCTATTCTTGGAGCCCTCGGGGGAAGACTTGGAGGAAACCCGAACAGCTACTGGCCCATCGAAGACCCCCTCGCGCTGAATGCAGAGCAGGTTGCGGTTGCAGCCGCGCTGTTGTGGATCCTACAAATGCACACACAGCTGACAGCTCTGAGCTGCACAGTGCGATACGACTGTCTCGTTGCTGGAATGGCAGCGGAAGGCAGATGGACAACGCCGAATGATCTGGGTGCGCGCACCCACAGCCTGGAGCTAGCTCTGCGTGAGATGCCGGGAGTAAAACTCACCATGGAGCATGTTCGGGCGCATCAGGGTGACCCGTGGAATGAATGTGCTGATGGGGTGGCGAAGCTATTGGCCAACCGAGAACTGGAGCTGATGGAACCACCCGGCGGGGCTGGCCAATGTTTCCTACGAAGCAACCTCCAATGGATGGCCACAGAGCTCGCCGCCTGGCGAACAGGTGCCCTTCCCATCAACAATGGACGACTGGTCTGGGAGGACAGGCCCTTCGAGGAATTCTCCCTCCAGCCTAACGACCTGATCCCGATCAACGAGTGCCCGGAGAGCTCAGGCGACGAGGCTAGACCCTTCCAATTGAGGGCGGCTACAGTCAACATCCAAGGTATGGGAGGCAACTACCCGTATGTTGATGAGCAACTCCACCGCCTCGACTTAAATCTTGTCTGCATTCAGGAAGTCAAGGGCAGGGAGGGGCTTTGCCTCGGCAGAAACTACCTCCGCCTGTCCACGGAATCCGACAAGTACTGGGGAGCGGCGATTTGGATCCACAGGGTCCGAGGCCTCATGACAGTACAGGGCCAGCCAATGCATGTCTTGGAGCAGGACATGAACATCCTCCACCAGTGTCCGAGGATTTTGGCTGTTTTGATCAACAAGAATGGCCACAAGATCCTCGTCATCTCTGCGCACTGCCCGCACGCTGGCCGGGAAGATGATCGCAAGAAGTTCATGGACGCAATCCGCCCGCTCTTCATGCAGGCCAAGCATGTGGATTTGGCCCTGGTGGGAATTGATCTTAACGGCAGGCTACCGACCCCGTTCCCACCGGCCACAGGCAACCTTGAGTTTGATGAGCCCGATCAAGGGGGACGAGAGATGGCCAATCTTATGGTGGACGCGGGGTTGTGGGCGCCTTCCACCTACAGGGAGCTGCACGCTGGAGACCCGGCGACCTATGTACACCCAAGTGGAGCTGAAAGTCGCATCGACTATATCATGCAAGGAGGCAAGGGCCAGGTGTACAGGGCCAAAACCCATGTCAATCGTGGCTTTGACACGGGAAGCCCGAACCTGGACCATTGGATGCTCCAAATCGAGCTGGAAGGCAATATGGCCAGGAGCAAAGGAGGAAAAACTCTTTGGAGACAGAAGTTTGATGTCGACAAGATGCACACCCAGGCAGGCAAGGACGTGCTGGTCCAGGCTTGCATGAAATTTCCGCAGCCAGCTTGGAATGTGCACCCGGATCGTCACTGTCTCCTCTTCCAGAGCTACTACCAGGATGTGCTGCAGCAACACTTCAGGCTGCCGACCACCGGTAGGTCTTCCTACATACCGGATGCAGCGTGGGCCCTACGCGACGGAAAGATGGCTATGAAGCGAGCTACCAAGTATCGCTTCGCCCTGTGGGGCGAGCTCAAACGACAGGCCTGGCGAGGCTTGAAAGGACAGAGCCACCAAGTCTTGGACAGTGTGGCCAAGCATAACCTCATGTTTGAGATGGCGGCGACTGCGATCAAGTTTGCCACGGCCCGAATTAAGAAGCTCATCACCGTGGCCAAGGCAAAGATGCTAGATGGTGTCGTTGCCACCGGGCCCCAGAACGTTGCGGCCGTCTTGCAGCGAGCCAAGAAGGCGGGAGTTGGCGGCAGAAAGTCGCGCCCGGTGCAGCGACCACTACCACAGCTCCTTGACCCCAGCACCGGCGAGCGTGCTAAAGATCAAGCTGACCTTGACAAAATCTGGCTCAACTACTTCGGGCAACAGGAGTACGGAGTGATATACAGCGTTGAGGAGTTTCTCAAGCAGTCTGTCGACTATGGGGGAGATGTGGCGGAACAGTGGATGCCGGAACATCTGCCATCCCTGCAGGATATAGAGCAGACTCTTCGAGAAATCCCGCGAGGCAAAACTGGAGGCATTGACTCCCTGCCCAGCGACCTGTTCAATGCATGCCCAAGACACCTCGCAGGTGTACTACAGCCCCTCTACCTCAAAAGCCTCCTATGTCATCGGCAACCACTGCAGTGGAGAGGAGGCTTGCTGTATGAGGCCTATAAAGGGACGGGCACACAGGCACGGGTTGAGAACTTCCGAAGCCTCTTCATATCCAGCTTCGCAGGCAAGGCGCTGCATAAAGCTCTCCGCCGGAAGGTGCAGACGTGTGTGGAAGACACGCTGCATCCGCTACACTTTGGGCCCCGCAAAGGGGCCCCGGTCCTTTTTCCGGCCATCTATGTGGCGGCTCACGTGCGGCACTGCAAGGCGACGAAGCAGTGCATGTCCCTGCTCTTCATAGACTGCAGGGCAGCCTATTATAGGATTGTCAGAGAGTTGGCCACTGGCACCCTGACAAACGACGCGGAGATCTACCAGCTCTTTGCCAGATTTGGTCTGGAGCCCTCTGACATGGCAGACCTGATGGAGCTGATCACCTCAGGCGGCATGTTCAGACAGGCGGACATTCCGGAGCCTATACATAGGGCCACGTGTGACTTTCACATGGCCACTTGGTTCATCACCAAGTACACACAGGGAGAAAGTCTGGTCGAAGCAAAAGCCGGTAGTCGCCCAGGGGAAGCGTGGGCGGACACTCTGTTTGCATTTATATATGCAAGAGTGTTACATCGAGTCCACGAGCACTTGGTCGCGGAGGACATCCTTTTCCAGGTGGAGTGGGACCCGGACAGTGGAGTGTGGGCGCGGCCTGGACAAGGAACCCAGGTAGAAACCTGGGATGGAACCTGGGCGGACGACACGGCCGTCCCACTCAGAGCAGACACCGCGGAGGAGCTCATGAGCAAAACCCGGCGGCTATGCTCCATTATGGTCAGCACCCTTAGGTCGCATGGGCTCGACCCGAACCTCAAACGAAACAAGACCAGCTTGCTTCTCGGGCTGACGGGACCAGGTTCCAAGAAGGTCCGCCGCCGTGAGTTCGCGGACGGCCGACCGGAACTTCTGATCGAAGACATCGGAGAATCTATCCCTGTTGTCGACAGCTACAAGCACCTGGGCGGCATGATCGATGCCAATGCCACCTTCTCCCAGGAGGTGCGACTGCGATTGTCTTTGGCAGCCGGGGCCTTCGATGAAGGCAAAAAGCTTTTGCTGCAGAACCAGAGGCTCCCCATTGACACGCGTGGGCGCATCTTTGACTCAACAGTCGCGGCAACGATGCACAACCTTGCGCTGTGGATTCCCCAGGGGACCCAGTGGCAGAAGCTGGCAGACGGCTATGCCAGACAGGTCCGGCGGCTGCTGGGACGCGACATCAAGGGCGAGACGGTTTTCCACCTACCTACGCCAGCGGCGCATATCATCACTGGGTGCTGGCCACTTGAACTGCTAGCATACCGCGCCCGACTAAGCCTCCTTGCCTCGCTAGCCAAGGCAGCTCCTCCGGTCCTGTGGGCCATGCTGCAGGAAGAGCAGACTTGGTTTCGGCAGCTCCAGGCTGACTTGAGTTGGCTTATCGAGGGAGAGGAGATGAAATGGCCTGCTGCTGTGGCAGCGGAGTGGCCTCAGTGGTGGAACCTACTCCGGCACTCTCAGGGAAGGATCAAAAGGAGCGTTGACAGACGCATGAGAAAGGACTTCGAGAACTACAAGGATAGGGAATCTGCCGACTTGTGCCTATGGGCCCTCCGACGGAGCATGCCACCAGAGAAGCTTCCTGATACACGGGAGATGGCGTGGCGCTGCCGCATGTGTGACAAGATCTTTGGGAAAAGATCTGGCCTGAGCGTTCACTTCTTTTCGGTACATCGAAGGAAGGCGGAGTACCGGAAGTTTGTGACGGGCACACAGTGCCTGGCATGTGGCCGCCAATACTGGGCCACTGCGAGGCTGGAGGACCATCTTCGGGCCTCACACCGCTGCGTACAAGTACTACGTGCTCGAGGAGAAGGCCAAGATGAGGTGGTGCCAGGCTACGGCAGTCGTCGCAGACGACAAGAAGTGAAAGAGCACTTCACCCCTGCTCCGCCCATCCCGCAGGGCGAAAGCAACCAGCAGGCTTCGATGGAAAAGGTGATGAATGCGTGGGAGGATGAAGCTCACCGAGAGCTCACGGCCGCCCTCCTCGACGTCACCGTAGCGACCAAAGAACGCAACATCATCGAGGACATCAACAAGGTCTTCAAGGGTCACCCCCTCTACCCGGAGGAGATCCTCCACGTCACTGAGCAGGCCATGGACGAGATCGACGTGATCCAGGGAGATCCGGACCTACGCCAGTGGAACGAAGATCAAGTGGAGGCGATGAAGGATGCCCTCCAAGCAATTCGAAACCCGCCAGCTACTGGTGGCGGGAACCAAGGCCTGGGGAAGGTGGACACCTACCAGGACTTCAAGAAGCAGGTCGAGACCCTCCAGTGGCAGCGAGCTGCTGGAGTGGAACAGCAAGGACACGAGACCCCGGAAGAAGTTGCCTACGAACTGGGAGACGGCTGGGAAGCTGCTTGGCGTCTCTACAGGGGCAACTTGCCCGCAGCAGCCGTGGCCGAAGACCTACTGAGGCTGCTTCCACCGGAGCTAAGACAGCTCTGGGAACGCCTTCATCAGGGCGCATTAGTGACCCTGCGAGCCCCAGCCTCTTTTTGGGGGCATCGCCTCTCGAGGCCTTTCACGGCCTTTAGGGAGGGCTCTTGCAACCTTTAATTCGGCTGCGCAAACCACTGACAGCACGCAAATGGCAAATTTATATCTTTATTATTCGCATAGTTCTAGCTAAAGAGAGATAGAGAGAGAGCGAGAGAGAGAGTTATATATGTAACCAGCAGGAAGGCCTTGAGATTAAGAAACTTTTAGGGCTTCTGGGTGACCTCATAGAGACTTGCTAAGGAGGCTTCAGGGTTCGGTGATCAGGGACTCTAAAATCTTTGAACCTGTACACTCCACACCCTAGAATAGAGTCGGTTTCTTGGCGTTCTTCTGGTTGGCTCTTAGGACTAACTTTTCGGGTTTCTATACAAGCTATAATTAGTAGGCTAAAAGTTTAACGTTTAGGAGGGGTTCAGAAGTCAGCCCAGGTTTTTTCGTTTGAAGGCGGGGGGGGAACGGGGGGGGGGGTTGGCATTGAGGTTGGGGTGCGGGGCTTCAGATTTTAGTGGTTAGGGGCTCTAAAGTTCTTGGGCATGAAGTTGCCCCCTACCAGGCCCAAAAGGCACCCAAACTGCTATAGGGGCCTTCACAATTGCCTATACTATTTAGGGATTCCTTATCATAGTTATAGTATAGTATACACCAAAATCCTGTTCTAATTATTAAGGCCCCTACATTAGAGCGTAAGCCCCAGAAGAACCCGGTGTAAATTAAAGCCAGACATGCGCCAGGAAGCAGAGGCTGGCGATCAGTCCCTGAGCCGGTGGTGCAGCCGGCGTCGGCGTACGACCGAGGAGGATCAGCATGAACTTTGTATAGTTTAGGGGTTTAGGGTGTAAATAAGTAAGGGCAGCAGACGAGTCCGCCTAAATAATTACCAATACTATTTTGGAGGTTCCTTATTCCAATTACAGTATAATAGGACCTCGAAGCCCTGCTCTAATAGTCAAGACCCCTATACTAGGCACCTAAACAATTACGAACACTATTCCTTGTGTGCTCCTTATTTCCTCAGGTATATTGTACTATACGCCAAGGCCATACAGTCATCGAGGCCTGTATATAGGCAAGTTTCGGGACGAGGGTTTCTGGCTCAGGGTTACTTGCAGGATCATGGGCAGTTATAAATGGGGTTATAAGTAGGGTAGCTATAGTTATAACCCATCGTAGGGAACTTGTAACCATACTTATAACTACCCATAAACCTCCAAGTAGGCCCTAAACCCATGGAGCCCTGTAAGAACCCTGGACTCCTAAACCCCTATTTAGGATTCTATTCGGGAATCCCAAAAAGGAACTACTATGGGGCCTATGGGTAGGGAGTGTTCATTGCGAGGGTTGCTTCAAACTCAGTCGTCGGGCCTCACTCGCGCGACCCCGAGCCTAATCCCGAAGCAGTCATGTGGGAGTTGCCGAAAAGTACGGGTACCTTATTTGGGAGTTTCCGAAAATAGGGGACCCTAATATAGTACCCTAAATAGTAGGATCCTTATTGTAAGGACCCCCCAAATAAGGTACCCCTAATTTCGGAAACTCCTATTTTGGGGTCCCTATAATAAGGATCCTACTATTCAGGGTGCTATATTAGGGTCCCCCTATTTTCGGAAACACACATGTTGACCCATTCGAAGCGACGCCCTCAACACTCACCAACATCCCAACGTAGAAGCCTGAATGGGTGCCATATGATGCCTAAGGGTTCATCATTATGAATAGCCATTACCAATTTTGCACCGAAACCCGGCAACTGTCTGGTAATTCCGCAGAGCCTCAAAATCATTGCGCAGCGGCTTTTGAAGACAAGGATCTTAATGACTTGATGTTTGCATGAAATCTACGTCTACGACCGGGGATCTATGGGAGGAGCCGAAGCAGATCTGTGAATTGTTTGGTTCTAAGTGCAACAAACTTAAGATGCGCCGATACCCGATAACAAGTTGTTTCAATAACGTACACCGAAACCCGGTTCTAAATCTTGCGGTCCTTATACTATGTCCTTAGAAAACCTGAACCCACGCGATCTTCGACACATTTCTGCAACGACGGGCAGATCCCGATCTGCTCGACAAGCCTTTTACGACAAGGTTCTTACCCAGTAGGGTTTTCTACATTTGCCATTATCGCCACGTGTGAGCAATCAAAATTTCAGTAACACAGGCAACACGCCGTCCTTTCTAAGTTAGCTACAAAAAACATCCCTACCACAATTTGACGTGACGTGGTACACTCTGACTGGTAGTTCTCTAAATTCAGGTCCCTTCTTGGGTCCCCAAAATTGAATTGCACCTCTTTCTATAAAAAGGATCCTAAAAGGAACTAATTTAGAGAACTACGCAAATCAAGCCTAAATCCCTAACGGGCGTACACTGCATGAGGAGGGGCAGACCCTCGTTGTCTCTGCAGCCGATGCAGAGGCCATGTTGCGCGTGATTCATCGTGGGGTTTCAGGTTTCAGATGCAGATAAATCTAGAATACTATAGAACCATCAGGGGTTTCGGGTCTGAGATGCAGGTGATTCTAGAAAGCTATAGAACTTCACTTGAGTAAGCTGGCTTTTGCATCTTTTTCTATGAGTGCGCTCCAGCTGCTTTCACATTCTCAGACGGACCCCAAAGCCGTGAAGCACACCCGGAACCTGAAGCTCGCGCTCCAGTGCCCTGCTAATAACACTAAGAAGATCCTATTTCCGAATATAAGTCAAGCGGGCCTGCACCTTTCTTCGGCCTGCATGTTTCAGGCGGCTGCTGCATCATCCGAACAGGCAGTCCCAGTCCAGGGACAAGTTGGTCGGGGCAAAGGAGGTCTTTGGAAGTTTTGGGGCGTGTGCTTCCTGATGCTGCATGCTGTTGCGAGTGATAGCGCGCAATCCTGAACCAGAAGTCATTGCATGTGTTTGTATGCACGTATGCATGCAGGCAGAGCTACCCAAACATACCCAGATAGTCAGAACGTAGAATGAATATTATGTACCCAGATAGATATTAGACAGCATGAGGGAGTGTGTCTGCGTGCTTGTGTAGATATGCCCGAGTCTTATCTTCTTATCGCATAGTGTGTAGGGTCGGCACAAGGTTCATGGTCAAGACTGGAGATTCAAGAACCCTAAACCCTACACCCTAAACTACACCCTACACCTTAACCCTCCCCTACACCCTAAAGACCCCTAAACCCTAAACCCTACACCTTCAACCCTACACCCTAAAGACCCCTAAACCCTAAACCCTAAACCCCAAACCCTACACCTTAAACCCTACACCCTAAAGACCCGGCTCAGGGTTGAATTGGCGTGAGCTTGGCAAACTTAAGATTTGGACAATCTGAGTCAAATCAGCAAGACCGAACCTTCTCAGCTAAGAATCCAGGGTTTAGGGTTTACGGTTCAGGATTTAGGGGTTTAGGGTTTAGGGTTCGAGCTCGAGTTGGATAGCCCAATTTGCACCTGTATTGCGCTTACTTGAACGAATCTGTGGGTACCACCAAACCTCCATGTCCCAGCCCTAGCCCTTAACATGAACGAACCTGAAAGTCCAATTACAGCCCTTCGCCTTAACCCCAATCGAGCCCTCATAGACCTGAGATCCTCCTTTTTCCAAGCCATGGGTAGTTATAAGTGGGGTTATAAGTAGGGTACCTGTAGTTATAACCTATATTAGGGGACTTATAACTCCATGTATAACTACCCATGAACCTCCAAGTATTCAACAACTTTAACAGACCCCTACACTCCTATAAGCACCTGTAGGAGAGATCCACCCAGAACTCTAAATTCCTCAACCCTAAACCCAAGCCCCCTACAACCCAGCCCTGAACCCTAAGACTCTGAACCCTAAACCCTGAACCCTAAACCCTAAAACCCTAAACCCTACACCCTAAACCCTAAACCCTACAGCAAAAAAACCCGAAATAGGACTCTGCGAGCCTTCAGTCAGGCTTTTTCAGGCCGGCGTTCCTGGTCGCCTCGCGAGGCCCGCCTCCTTTTCTCTCGGTCGGGCCCAGGATGCGGGTCTGGCTTGTGTAAAGTTTAGGGTTTTATGGGACTTAGAGGGTTTTTAGGGATTTCAATTTCCCAACTAGTGCAGGATTTGAGTCTGGGTTCAAAAAGGGATTTCACTTTAGGGTTGTTAGGGATTTAGAGGGTTTTTTAGGGATTTCAAAGGTTTTAGGGTTGAGGGTTAAGGGTGTTTTGGGGGTTTCAGGGTGTCTTTAAAGGGGTTGAGGGTTTAGGGCCAAGGGTGCTTAGGGGTTTTGTGTTAGAGTGTAGGGTCTATGATGAGGTCTACTAAACCCTAAACCCTAAACCCTAAACTTTTAAACCGAGTTAAGTCTTGGCCCCACACCTTGGGGTCTCGGGTGGGGGATCGAGGGTCTAGGGTTTCGGGTTTCCAGGTGGGAGTAAGGGTTGTGTCATGTCGTTTGTTCTCAAACTCCTTAAAAAAATGTCCTAAGCATACAGTGTTCCCAATTTAAGGCCAGGGAGGGCTTATTCTCTTGAGTATTGATCTGGGATAGTGGATCAAACGCTGAAGGTGTGCGGGTCAGATCGTGGAACTCATTTTGTGGATCTGACTGTGTGGCGTGCTATCCACAACCTGGGTGTTTGTTACGACAAAGCCACCGGTGCTTGATTCTTTTTGCAACCTGAAACACCCAAGCCCTGTGTTCAACATGAGGTGCTTCCTGCCTGTTTCCTTGGTATCCGCTTAGCATCCGAATGCTGTTCCTGGCCCTGTCAAATGCTTCCGTTGGCAGTTTCGCTGCATTTTATTGTTTATATGCCATTTGCTGTTCTCTGACCTGAGAGACTGATCGGTACCTTGGCCATCCTGGTTCTAACAGGACTTTCTGTATCCTTTGGATGAGCTACGGAAAGCAGAAAGAGGAACTCTACTGGAAGTTCACCATTTTTGGTATCGGTGTGAGGGTTTGAGAAATGACTGAGTATACATAATTGCTGGTTCAGTTCTTTACATGTAAGTCCTAAGCCCTGAACTCGAAAGCCAAAATTATAGCTCTGCTGAAGGTAAATACCCATAGGCTCCATAGTAGTTCCTTTTTGGGATTCCCTAATAGAAGTACCAGCCACAAAAAGGAACTACTAAGGGGCCTATGGGTAGCTTTGAGTATCGATATTGCTATTGCAGAAGACTCCTGAGCTCCTCGAGACGCCTTCTTCTGCAGGATCAGGCGCCAGCAGCGGTGCTTGGTGCGGAATCTCCAGACACTTGACTGACATTGAATTTTGAGGGTTTGGGGTTTAGGGTTCAGGGCCTAGGGGCTGTGTGAAATCATGCAGTGCTGCTTCCCAGCTGATCAACAGAGTCTGGGTTCGAAAGGGTTTAGGGGTTTCAGTGGAACCATCACAACTTACCGGTAATAGTGATCATACTGTTCTTTTAGATAGTCCTTATCCAACGAAAACCGGCAAGACACCATCGTTTCGCTTGGGTCAGTATAAGAATGACTTGCTTTGGTAGTCTGAATTCGAGGCGTTGATTTACAAATGCTGAACCCAAGCCCAAGCCGCCCAAGCCCTCCACAAACTGAAACCTAAGGGCAAATCCCAAACCCAAACCCCCCCCCCCCCGCCTCCCC